CTCAGCTGGAACCAGAAGCCGATCCAAGGGAGGGGGGGGGTTCTCCAGAGTTCTGCCCTCTGCCCATGGGGGGGAGGGGGGGAGCACACGGCCTTGTCCCTGGAGGGACTGCTGGAGGGAGGGAGGGAGGGGGTCAGCTCCCAGAAATTGCCCAGCCTCTCCCAGGCACCCGGCCTTGCTGGAGGCAAGGGGATGAGGGGGGGGGGAGGCACTTTGGGTGTTTGTGCCCAGGGGCCCACTTCCATTGTTTGTGCCCTGATCCGACCGGCAGAGAACGGAGGGACGGCCGAAAGGAGCAAATGGAGCCCCTGGGGGCCTCAGCCCCTCCACTGACCAGAGCGCTTCCGGGACAGCTGAGGAAGAGCCCAGCCCGCGGCACAAGATCAGCAAAGCGTCCTGGCGGGCTGGGCTGGAGGGGTCCTTCCCGAGTCCTCCCTCCTACCTGCCCGTGGCTCGGAGCCAGATGGTGTGGGGGGAGGGTCCCCTCCCCAGTGCCTCACCCACGGGTGCCCAGCCCCTCAGCCCCCGGGGGGCACCCATTCCCACCCCTCGCCAAGGCCTGGTGTCCAGAGGCGGGGGACGTTCTGGGACTGGTGGAAAACAGACAAGACTCGGGCACGGATCGGGATGGCAAACGTGAAACTGTGGCTCTGCTGACCAGTGCCTGTTTCTCACCTCTGAGATGCGCCTCTGCACTGGGGGGCTGCCAAGCGGCAAAGGTCACGCCAGTCTTTACAGGCGGGCTTACAAGAGGGGAGCCGGGAAGCGACCAGTCAGGGGGCCTCACGTCTGTCCCAGGGACACGTTATTAAAGGTGCCCCCTAACCCATAAACACTCCTTTAGGGTGAAGCCGCACTGATTCGGACTTTGTCGGAGCGCTCCCTTAAGCCCATACGCTAAGGGCAGAGCAGCCTGCCTTCTGCAAAGGGAAGCCCCCCCCCCCCGCCGGCCGACCAGCAGGAGGAGGGCGAGAAGGCTCTTGACGAGGGAGAGCACCACCCGGGACTCCTGGCAAAGTTCCGTGGAGGGCGAGGAGGGCAGGGGTCACACTGGCAGATCATACCCGACTATTCACAGGCTGGGGGGGGGGGACACATTCAGGCTGACCCTCAATAGGGTGTGGGCGGGTGGGCAACACTGTGACAGAGGAAGCCCAGCCTTGGCAAAGGTCAGGTGCTGCCCACTGGAACAGGGTCCTGTCGTGGTTAAAGCGCCAGGCTGGGACGTGGGCAGTCCAGGCTCAGACCCCTCCCCCTGCCATGGACGCTGGCTGGGTGGCCTTGGACAAGCCTAACCCTAACCCTAACCCTCCATCTGAGCCACCTCACAGGGCTGGTGTGAGGATAACACGGAGGAGGAGGAGGAGGAGAGAATGATATTGGCGGCTTTGGATCCCCCCTGGGGAGAAAGGCTGGCTAGAAATCAAGTCAAAAGTGTAATGGCGCCTGAGCGGCCTGAGAATGAGACCGAGAAAGAGCTTGGGGGTCATAGCAGGCCGCTCAGTCAAAACGTGGACTCTGTGGGCTGCAGTGGTGAAACAGGCCAACCAGCTCCACGCTGTGGCTTCTTGGGAACAGGACTGAAAGTAAAACGGCCAAGACTGACCTCCTTTTTGTGTGAAGCCACAACACGGCCGCGGCCTCCTTTGGAAGCCCCCTTCCCGCCTTTCTCTGCAACGCAGGCTGGAGAAATCCATCGGGGCCTCTAGCCGGGGTTGTGGGTGAGCCCCGTGGAGGCAAACGGAGGCAGAACGTGACTGGACTGAGACCTTCCCCTACCCCCCAGCAGGGCACAGAACAAATGTGCAACATACAGCCTCCTCACTCATGGAAGAAGTGGGTCTATGTCAGAAATGGCAGGCGTAAACCACGGGGTGGGGGTGGTCAGGGGGACCTGGCACCAGGCTGTCCTCCCCTCCCCTACCCCCCAGCAGGGCACAGAACAAATGTGCAACATACAGCCTCCTCACTCATGGAAGAAGTGGGTCTATGTCAGAAATGGCAGGCGTAAACCACGGGGTGGGGGTGGTCAGGGGGACCTGGCACCA